CTGGGGCGCCTGCACCAATCAGAAGCTGCGCCTTGGTTTTTTAACATTTCAGAAGGACTTCTGGAACGGATTAAGTTTGGCGCTTTTGTTTTTGCTGTTTATTTTGCATTTTTGAGGCTTTTTCGGTTAATTTGAGGCTTTTTCGGTTAATTTGAGGCTTTTTTGGTTAATTTGTTTTTGTGACTGTGTGGAACCCAGGTCAGCTACTGATTGATTTGTGTGACTGCAGAAATGGATAAAAGCCCCCCATCCAAACAATGACTATCATCGGTGCAGGTAAAGAAAAAAATATAATTTTAATTTTTATCAACTACAATACTCTCTTATTTTATAGTACAGTACATAGATTATTGCTTCCATTTTATGGATCAATGGTCTCGTTAGATAGTAAAATCCATGTTAAATTTCTGTTTTAGGGGTTGTTTTTAAAAGTCTGGAACGGATTAATCAATTTTGCATTACTTTCTATGGATAAGCGCGTCTTGGTTTTGGAACGCTTTAGTTTTGGAATGGATTTCCAGAATGGATTAAGTTTGAGAACCAAGGTACCACTGTAGTGTTCTCCTAGCTAGCAGATAGGCGAGGGGGTGGAGGAAAAGCCCATCAGGATGGCACCCTCACTTAGTTGTAGCTCTTGCAACCTGGCTTCTTCCTTTGGGATGCAAATGAGGATACTTAAGCAGCCAGCTAAGGTCTTACAAAGAAACTGGTCTGACCAGTTCAGTGATAGCATCCTCCCTAACCAGCACTTGGGTACAGGAACCTCCCTGAATTGGGAGGGACTTGGGGCATCATCCAGACTGACCCCACCTCCCACAGTATATAAAAACAATTAAAATAATTGCATATATATAGGGCTGCCATATGTCTGAGTTTATCTGCCCAGGAAAATCCAGTGGGAAGTTTCAGAAATCAGCAAAATGTCTGGGTGGGAGGTGGGGAGCTCAATAACTCTGTCCGGATGTTCACTTTTGGAAATATGGCAGCCCTAAATATAAAAACAATGGTTGAAGATGATATATAAAAGAATGTACAGTATATTGTTATCTAACCGCATCAGAGCACGTCGTTGGCTGCCTCGCACCCTTACCGCACAGTTGGAGGATCTTGCGGTCCAAGTCGCTGTAGCTGTTCTTGGGGGGGCCCTCAGTTTTTGCTAGAGAATTCTGCGAGGAACTGGTGGAGAGGCTGACCTGCGGCCAGGGCTGCAGCTTCTGCAGGGCTTGGATGCGCTTGTAGGACACCAGGATCTGCAAGGAATTGCATTTTGCAAGCAGGCAAGGGAAACAGATGGGTGTGAAGGACAGGAACTTTGCAGTGGAATGAGGCCCAAAGCACAACCCCACCCCCAGTTAAGTTGCCCTTCTCCCCTTATCATTATAAAATGTTATTATTATTATCATGATCATTCTTCAGAGGGCCTTCTCGGTAGTGGCTCCCTCCCATCAGATGTCAAAGAAATAAACAACTATCTGAATTTTAGAAGACATCTGAAGGCAGCCCTGTTTAGGGAAGTTTTTAATGTTTAATGAATTCTTGTATTTTAATATTTTGTTGGAAGCCGCCCAGAGTGGCTGGGAAAGCCCAGCCAGATGGGCGGGGTATAAATAATAAGGTAGCCCCACGTAGAGCACATTGCAGTAGTCCAAGCGGGAGATAACCAGAGCATGCACCACTCTGGCAAGACAGTCCGCAGGCAGGTGGGGTCTCAGCCTGCGTAGCATAAGAAGCTGGTAGACAGCTGCCCTGGACACAGAATTGACCTGGGCCTCCATGGGCAGTTGTGAGTCCAAAATGTCCGAAACCTTGATGATCAGAGGATGAGGTTTCTAGGCAGGCTTGAATCCTGCAACCCCCCCCCCCCCAGCACTAGCACAACTTCCTGGGGTGTGGAGCTCATCGTTGCAACAGCAGCGCCATGTCTCTTGAGTGGCAGGTGGGTTCCTCATTATCACGGCATCAAGAAAATGCAGGCAGATGGAGAGGGAGAGCGACTTTGAACGCTTCCATCTTCGCAGCAGCCTCCCACCGGCTCCACCTGGCAGGGTTGGCGTTCCCTTGCAACACTCCCGCACAGGTCTCTCCGTGTCAACTATTCTAGTCTCGTTGCCGGCTGATTAAGCCGGATGGGCGTTTTCAGATTTGCGAGGCAAGAGCAGGGCTTGTGTGTGGCTAGCGATGTGGATGGATGGATTTTTACTGTTCCCCAAGAGGCTTGTTAAGAGGGAAGGTGCTCTAAGGAGGGAGACAGGGTGAGGATGAATGAGACATTGGGTTTAGAATCATAGAGTCGGAAGGGATGCAAAGGGTCACCTATTCGAAATGCCTGCAATGCAGGAATCACAGCTTATCTCATAGGAGTCCTGTGTTCAATTCTGGGAACCCCAGTTTAAGAAGTGTGGGATGTAATCCTCTGGAGCAGTCAAGTACAACATCCCTTGTTTGCCTAGAGTGGACATGCAGGGGATGTTGGTCCAGCAAGTAGAACTTCCTGTTGCACCTGGCCGGAGCATCCTTCCTTTGCATGTGACCAGTAGGTGGGTGTTACCTTTCCAGACCTGGTAAAAGGCCAAGTCATGTAGCCATCTTCCCTTCCCTTCTCTTTTTTGTCCTGCCTGCTTCCTGCTTCACCTGGACCGCACTCTCAGCCAGCAGTCCCTGGGTTATTTCCCATACGGGGTAAACCTATTTATACATATTTGTAACCTTGAGCCTAAAGCCTGCCTTCAGGGATCAATCACACTGTGCTCTGCCTGATCGTGAGTAAACTTCTTATTGTTACTTATGAGCAAGACTGTTGTGTCTTTATTCTTTTAGGAGGGAATCAAAGGGGTCTTACCAGGAATAACAGAAGTTAAGAGATTCTAATGAATCTGCAACCAGATTCCTGCTGTGTAACAGGGGAATACGCTCTGCTATGTAAAGAAACTTGGTAGCGCAAGTTAGGAAGGAAAATATTAATCAATATATCCTCTTCTGTGACCCACAACATTCCCAGAAGAAGGATATCATACAAGCTGGAAAGTGGAAAAAAGAAGGCTGAGAGGTGAAGTGATAAAAAGGTAAAGGTAAAGGACCCCTGACAGTTAAGTCCAGTCGCAGACAACTCTGGGGTTGTGGCGCTCATCTTGCTTTATTGGCGGAGGGAGCCGGCGTTTGTCCACAGACAGTTTTTCCGGGTCATGTGGCCAGCATGACTAAGCTGCTTCTGGTGAACCAGCGCAGCACACAGAAACGCCGTTTACCTTCCTGCCGGAGCGGTACCTATTTATCTACTTGCACTTTGATGTGCATTCAAACTGCCAAGTGGGCAGGAGCAGGGACCGAGCAACGGGAGCTCACCCCATCGTGGGGATTCGAACTGCCGACCTTCTGATCGACAAGCCCTAGGCTCTGTGGTTTAACCCACAGCGCCACCCGTGTCCCCTGATACTGGACTACCCAGGGGGAATTGTCCTGATTCTGAAACCAGGCTCTCCTTATATTCTTATGTTCACTGCGGTAGATGAGATGCTGGTGTAACAACTTGGTAAATCTCCACCCGCTCAAGAAGATGGCATATTATCCGCTAACACATGTAAATGTCTTCCAGGGAGTAAGATGATGGAAGGTGAGTCTTAAGAGATGGCAGCAGAGTCCCCACATTAAAACGGTGTCTAAAGCAGGTCAACGGGTAACAAGGACAAGGGTAAAAAATATCTTGATCAAAGTACTGTTGGTAGCAGCAGACACACAAAGAGTTTAAGGTATTCCGTACTGGTGAGTAGCATCACACAAAGATAATAATAATAATAATATTAATAATAATACTTACATGCTTCTCTAAAGCGCGAAGGTTCAGCTCATCCGATTCAGAGAGTTGACTGCAGTGTACCTGAAAAGGAGAAGGGAAGAGTGTTTCAAGGTCAGCTTTCATCAGGAAGATGTTTCTGACAGTAAGAGTTGTTTGTCAGCAATATCTAGGCAACACGATGACCATGTACGTAATAAGCAAGAGATAATCTTTATAGAATTCCTTCAAACCATAATAAGTGCAAAATGAAATCGTTAGTCTCAAAGTCTCTGAAAATCTTTAAATGAAGCGAGATGGTCCGGGAATCAGCGTGTTTTTACATGAGTAGAACGTGTCATGTTATTTAAAATGCATCTCTGGGTTATTTGTGGGGTCTGCCTGGTGTTTTTACATGAGTAGAATATGTGCTTTTATTTAAAATGCATCTCTGGGTTATTTGTGAGGCATAGGAATTCGTCTCCCCCCCCCCTCAAAAAAAATATAGTCTGGCTCCCACTAAGGTCTGAGGGACGGTGGACTGGCCCACGGCTGAAAAAGGTTGCTGACCCCTGGCTTACGCTTTGGGCGAGTGCCTTCTCTGCTTCCCTGTGCGAGGTGAGCATCCCTCAGCAGAGAGTTAGACACAAATGAGTTCGAGAAAGCAGGGACAGATAACTACAGTCCCAGGGAGATAAGGATAATGAGATGCAGAGAAGGGGGAGGGGTTGCTCCTCGCTCCCTGTCATCCCAAAGCCCTTGCCTCAAGGTCCTTTTGCCTAGCAGAAGCTCCCACATGCTAGAGTTCTCTCTGACTCGTGGAAGGAAAGGCCCAAGCCAGCCAGCCAGCCAGCCAGCCAGCCAGCCCAGAAAATGGGCTCTTCACAGGGGCTGCACAGATGGAGGGCACCAGCAGTGACATAGGATAGTGACAGAAGCCTCTGGTTCGGATCTGGCCTTGGACACGGACTCGTGAGGCAGCAACAGGCACTTCTCCCAGCCTTATGGCCACTGATGCAGCCTGGGGGCAATATAACTTGGGTCTGCTTTATGCAGCTGCTGGAAGCTGAGCTTGTGTCACCGTTTATCACCCCATTTTCTCAGAACCTTGACAGCTTATCCAAACTACGCAGCAGTAAAAGTGCTGCAGCAGACCATCGATGCAACCGTTTGAGAACGAAGGACCACAAACAGCCGATCGGCTGAACATTAAGAGCTCTCTCTCTCTCTCTTCTTGATAGCTCAGTTGGTAGAGCATGAGACTCTTAATCTCAAGGTCGTGGGTTTGAGCCTCACGTTGGGCAAAAGGATTCCTATATTCCAGGGGGTTGGGCTGGATGACCCCCGGGGTCCCTTCCAATACTACAATTCTGTGATTCTATGTCTAGTTCTGGGCACCACAGTTTAAGAAGGATGTTGACAAGCTGGGAAGCGTGCAGAGGAGGGCAACCAAGATGATCAAGGGTCTGGAAACAAGCTTCCGTACGACTGAGCTGTAATGGCTCTCCTCCTCGTCGTATCTTTGGAATCCATCAACCTCTGCTCCGACGGTGATTAATGACCTAAGCCTTTAAATGAGACTTCAGGTACGCTCCCATTACACAGAGTACCCAAACAGAAGAGTTCGGATTTGGATTTGATATCCCACTTTATCACTACCCGAAGGAGTCTCAAAGCGGCTAACGTTCTCCTTTCCCTTCCTCCCCGAAAACAAACACTCTGTGAGGTGAGTGGGGCTGAGAGACTTCAGAGAAGTGTGACTGGCCCAAGGTCACCCAGCAGCTGCATGTGGAGGAGCGGAGACGCGAACCCGGTTCACCAGATTACGAGTCTACCGCTCTTAACCACTACACCGAGCCAGAAATATGTGCTACATTGCTACGTTTATTTCTAACTACGCAGGACAGAAAAGAATATGCGTCTGCTCTCTGTGAGAGACAGAGAACAACAAGAGCAAAGAAAACAGGAAACCAGAACTTCAACATCCGTCTCCCATGAGACTTCCAACAGTCTGGAATGTCAACAGAGTCTTGCGACTCCAAAAACTGCACAGTGGCATAACAGAAATCTAACAGAGTAATGGTTGAAGGAGCTGGGTGTGCTTAGCCTGGAAAAGAGGAGACTGAGACGAGATGGGGTAGCCATCTTCAAATACCTAAAGGGCTGCCATGTGGAAGATGGAGCAAGCTTGCTTTCTCGTGCTTTGGAGGGTAGGACTTGAATCCATGGCTTCAAGTTCCAAGAAAGGAGGTTCCCACTAAACATCAGGAGGAACTGTCTGGCAGTAAGAGCTGTTGGACAGTGAAACAGTCTCCCTCAGGAGGTGGTGGACTCTCTTTCATTGGAGGTTTTTAAACAGAGCTTGGGTGGTCATTTGTCATGGATTCTTTAGCGGTGGTTCCTGTCTGGCAGGGGGTTGGACTAGATGAGCCTTGGGGGTCCCTTCCAACTCTGCAGTGCTGTAATTCTATGAGAGGAGTTATGCCAATGGCTGGTCAGAATCTCCTTTATTTTATTTTATCTTTCAATGGTTTTTTAAATTTAATTTTTTATTGAATTATTATGCAGATGCAAACGAAACAAAGTATACAAATATTTCAACTGAATACAAAAAAATTAAATAAACAAAAAAGAAAAGAGCAAAACAGAGCAAATGCAAAAAGTAAGAACATAAGTATAATACAAGGTAACTATAATAGACATCCCAGAATGTCATTTCTCTAACAAGATGCTGACCCTTCTGGGGTGGATCTCTTTTTATTATACTTTTGGTTTTCTGACTTCCATCGACCTCACGGTGGTTCATTTCCTATAACTGCAACAATTTCTCTGTATTTCAATATATTCCTCATCTTGGTATAAGGAGACATTTCCCCACTTACGGGTTTATTCTAAACACAACCAAATCTTGGTTGTTGAACCTTGACTCGATAGCTAGGTATTTTGGCATTTCCTTCTGGGCTATTTTATTTGACCTGCTCCTTAAGGCTTCAGTCAACTTAGCGAGTTCCAAGTATTCGCTCGGCTTTTGTAGCCATTTTTCTCTAGTTGGTATATGGTTACCCTTCCAGTACTTGGTTATTAATATCCTAGCCACCGTTACTGCATAGAAAAATAATTTTAATCCTTCTTTTGGAATATTGTCAGTTAGAATCCCAAGAAGGAATGATTCCAGTTTTTTTTGTAAAACTGGAATCTCCTTTATTGCCACTTTAATGCATTGGTTTTGGTTTTGCCCTTCCACGTGACAGCACTTCCGATCTTTGAAGATGGCTATCCCATCTATCTCGAAGATACCAGCATGAGTTTGTTACCAAACTGCGGGAAGCAGTGGAAGACAGGAGGGCCTGGCGTGCTCTGGTCCAGGGGGTCACAAAGAGGCGGACACGACTAAAGGACTAAACAACAACAAATCACATCTATTCTGTTTCTTCTCTTCTCCAGGCTAAACATACCCAGCTCCCTCAACCAGACAGTCCTCGCACGCTTTCTTTTTTCATTTTTATATAAATGACATTGTTCGAGAACTGAGAGGTCTAGATTATTTTCCTGTTTCTATTCAGAATGTCAAGCTCTCAGTTCCTCGGTACCTATTTATTTACTTGCACTTCATGCTTTTGAACTGCTAGGTTGGCAGGAGAGGGACCGAGCAACGGGAGCTCACCCCGTTGAGGGGATTCGAACCGCTGACTTTCTCATCGGCAAGTCCTAGGCTCTGTGGTTTAACCCACAGTGCCACCTGCGTCTCAATTTATGGACCTAATAGGTATCTAAAGCCATTTGTACAGGTTGCCATGCAACCATGCAGAATGTAGGCACCCTATATATAGAAATGAGCCAACCAGTGATATTTTAGGGAGCATGCTAGCAGGCGGGGCCCATTGCTTACATCATAGGAGCCTACACAACACAAAACCTGGTTGCTGTATGTAGGTTTTATTTTATGTGTTTTTCATCTTATATTTTGGAAATGTACATCCAGGGTTTTTTTCCCTTTAATTTTTTTGGGGCCCCCAAGAGAGTAGAGCTTGTTTTAAAAGGTAAAGGGACCCCTGATTATTAGGTTCAGTTGTGGACGACTCTGGGGTTGCGGCGCTCATCTCGCTTTACTGGCTGAGGGAGCCGGCGTACAGCTTCTGGGTCATGTGGCCAGTATGACTAAGCCGCTTTTGGCGAACCAGAGCAGCGCACGGAAACGCCATTTACCTTCCTGCCGGAGTGGTACCTATTTATCTACTTCCACTTTGATGTGCTTTTGAACTGCTAGGTTGGCAGGAGGAGGGACCGAGCAACGGGAGCTCACCCTGTCGCGGGGATTCAAACCGCCGACCTTCTGATTGGCAAGTCCTAGGCTCTGTGGTTTAACCCACAGCACCACCCGCGTCCTAGAGCTTGTTTAGCTTATATGTAAATCTGGCTCTCTCTCTCTCTCTCTCTCTCTCTCTCTCTCTCTCTCTCTCTGTGCAAATTAAACTGTAATGCCCTCTTGCCACTGAGTTACACTAAAAATACTTCCACAGTGATCCTGGCAATGAGTTGCACGGCATTCTTTTCTGTCTCTGCTTTCTTCCTTCCATTTGCAGTTCTCCCTAGAAAAGTGCCCCTGTCATAAATCTCCAGTTAATTAGCACCGAGTTCTCACCAGCCTCTCGGAGACCTTAGCCAACCCCACGAAGCCTGCCAGGAACAAATGCAACACAAGCTCTCTGCTCTGTAATTCTGACAAGCAAGCTGCTAAAAGCAGGCCCAGTCCAACAACCGGGGAGCGCTAGATCCTGCAGAAAGGAGCCCAGTTCTCCCTGTCAATCAGCCCGGCCACATTCACACCATCCCTTTAAAACACAATGATGTCAGTTCAAACAGCCATGGCCCCCACCCCCGTAAAGAATCCTGGGAGTTGTAGTTTGTTTAGGGTGCTGAGAGTTGCTAGGGGACCCTCAATTCCTCTCCCAGAGCTACAATTCCCAGAATTCCCCATGCAGAGGGATGGATAGTTAAACCCAGGCATAGGCAAACTCAGCCCTCCAGATGTTTTGGGACTACAATTCCCACCATCCCTGACCACTGGTCCTGTTAGCTAGGGATGATGGGAGTTGTAGTCCCAAAACAGCTGGGGGGCTGAGTTTGCTTATGACTGGTTAAACCACTCTGGATAGTTAAAGTTCATACTGCCATCCTTTTGCTGTCCGAAAAAGCTACATACTTTATCTTTATTTATTTTTATTTATTTGATTTTATAAAATTTGATTGTTAAAAAAACTCCAAACTGTTCACAAAAAAAGATGACGCGATAAGATTGCTGATAAGAAAACAACAACAACAATTTAAAACTTTTCAAAAGTTTTTTAAAAACCCTGAAAACAGATTAAAACCCACCATTTCTAAAACCGCTGGACTGGCTTGTCAAAACAGGGATGGTTTAAGCAGGAGCAGAAAAGAGGACTCTGAAGGTCTGATTTCAAGAGGCAGGGAGTTCCATAGTATATAGTAAGCCCTGCCACACGAAACTATCAGATTCTTACAAATGTGGAACAGGTGATACGTGGGGCGCTTGTAATACTGCCACTTCTGCCAGTCAAAGCAGCTGAAAGGGTGTATATGGGGTGAGGTGATCTCACAGGTAAACTGGCCCCAAGCTTTTAAGGGCTTTATATAGGAATAGCTGAGTTTCCTGCATTGCAGGGGGTTGGACTAGATGACCCCCTGGGTCTCTTCCAGCTCTACATTTCTATTATTCTAACACCCAGTTGCAAAGCGGCGGCCAGCGCCAGTCTCTGAGCACAGATGTTGTTCATCTGAAGGCAGCCCTGTACCAGGAAATTTTTAATGTTTGTCGTTTTATTATGCTTTTGCATTTGTTGGAAGCCGCCCAGCTGGGGCTTCCCAGTCAGATGGGCAGGGTACTATTATTATTATTATTATTATTATTATTACGCCGACAAGGCCTCATTCCTGCCAGCAACTGTAAAGGCCAATGCAGCTTTGTGGAAACGAAGGGCGCCTGCCACGTGTTCCCATCTCCCTGTGCCAGCAGGGAAAGGTCAGCGCCTCTTAATCATCTTAATTCCTTTTTAATAAGCGCTGGTGCGAATTTCGCAGATGTGGTACCAGAGCACCAGGCGCTAATCCACTTAAGCCCTTATCTCCCCGGCTGCCGACTCCGTCGCCGCAACCTTGCTGGGCGCTGGCAAGAGAAGTCGGGCAGCTCCAGGGCTTGGTTAACCTCGCCACTCGCCTCGCCGCCTCCGTGAAGGGAAAGTTCTGCAGAAATCGCATCCCGGTTTGACCCTCTGGCTCTTGGGGCT